AAGATTGAAGGAGAGGAGCTGAGGTGTATGAGATGCTTTGTGGTAGAGAGTGAGTTGTCCGTGGGGGGTTCCGGGCAGTGTTTGGGAAGGTAGAACGCCATCCTTCCTAGAAAGTCCCTATTTCCCTACTCTTTATCTTTGTGACATTTGGGGCTAATCTACATTTGGTTCCCGTGACTGCTGGCCTCATTCTTTCAGTTAGTTCACTAACTCCTTTCCCATTCAGGTTCTGCAGGCTTGTTCATTCATTACATAGGTGCCTATGGAGCTCTCATTTCAAAGGGAAAAGGAGTCAACACAATCTTGGTGCTACTAATTATTAAAGGGGAAGAGGTCAAAAAGGACCCCAGTGCTCTGTCAGAGCTGATCCCTACCAGATCCCTCCAAACCCCACCCCACCTCACATCAGCCAACTGCTGCCACGTCTCACCCCACATCCTTCATCCCTACTGGGTGGCAGAAAGACCCCTTTTCTTCTGAAGAATTAGGACAGGGAACTGAGAACGTGACAAGACCTTTGGCTCTTCAAGTGAAACTTGGTGAATGTGGCCAAAGAACCATGTAGTTGCAGTCCCCAGAGAACAGAATGTTCAGTAGCAAAGGTGGGGACTGAGAAACAGCTTCGAAATGCATTTGTGTTACAGGTATTTATTGAATACTGTTGATGTACAATACCTGGTAGACTCTTAAGGGAATAAAAGTAGGCTGATTCGTTTGTGCCCTTAATTAATCCTTGGAAAAGGTGTGGGGAAAAGAAGGGAAGAAGCAAGGTTAGACACAGAAAAAAGAGGGACGAATAAACACTGAGCCCAGAGACGTGAAGCGTCTAGGCCGAGTGCAGTGCAAACCTTCCACCTCTTCCCTGATGCTATCCCCATTTTCGCACAAGACCTTACATGCCTCAGATCACCACCTTCCCAAGGAAACGTAGCCTAGAAGTGTTTCCATGCCACTAATTGCGTCCTACGTATACTTTTTTGAGCACCCCAAGGTGCCAGGCACTTGAATTCTGAGAAGAATCAGAGTTGATTGTCACCTAAGGTGGTCGACCTTGACAGTGTCCTTTGATGCCTTTGGGACCTTAATCAGGCATATTGAGCGCTGTGCATGCTTGTAGGAGGAGAGGGATAGACATAAAGTAGAGATATTCTTACCTGACTTTGGTAAGAGGCGAAGAAAGTAATGTAAAACTACCTAGAAGAGTAACCAGGACACAGTAGGCATTTGATAAGACCAGGTATGATTCTCTCACTCAATTCTGGCATGACTGATTTTCTTTACTGAATTGACCAGTTTTTCAGCTGAAATCATTACCTGGCTGGGTTGGTATTCAGCCAAGTTGTTTGGTGTTGTGATCTGACATTAGGACCATCCGAGGAACCCACGGGCACCACTAAGAAGTAATCACCATGAAGGCTGTTTAGAAGTCGTCTGAAGAGCCAGGCTTAGCAAATCAGCTGATATTGTTAGTTGTGAGTGACAGAAACTGGCTCTAGCTAATTTAAGCAATCTATCAGAAAATTCACAGAAGCACTGAGAAGACTGGAGACCTAAACTTGGAAAATAGGCAGGAACTGACAGTGGCTGGGAATGGAGATGCAATTGGTCCTGCTGCTAGAAGAGTCTAGTTAGGCCACTATCTGAGTGGACACAGCAGTAACCATCCTCTCCTCGCTGCCTCTCCTCAACAGTCAATGCTGTTGCACTGGGCTCACTGCTGCTGGGGGCGCTCAGAATCTCTGCTTCTGCCGGAAAGAGTTTCCAAACCCTTTGTTCACCTCCTTGAGAGTCAGAGACCCAGGTAGAGCATCTGATTGGTGGAGCCTCAACAGCTAGGGCAGGGAGGAAGAGGATGGTGTCTTCAGCTTCTGTAGTTGGAAGCAGGCCCTGCTTTCCAACATACAAGAAAGGGATTCAGACACCAGGCAGCCAAAGGAAGGAAAGTAAAAAACAAAACAACTACGTGTCCACTGTACAATACTTTACTGTAGTACTGAGAGTTAAAGGTATTACCACACTTGACATCAAGTGACTTTTGGCTATTCTAAAATACCAAAGCCACCCCATAAGAATACTTGCTTGCTTCTAAGAATATTTCAGAAACCAGGCTTGAAGGCAAATCTCTGATATAACTTTCTAAAGCTTTTCTGGACCAATGGTACACCACTGGAAATGATACTTGCTAAAGGGGAAGGTGAAGAATATGTTTGGCCACAAATATAAAAATCCCCAACTTTGCTGACTTAAATAAAAATTTCATTTTTCTAACAAAGTAAGGGTTTTAGAGAAAGATGAATGCTGGAGGTAGCTCACTGTCCCAATGATGTTGAAATTAAGTCTCTATGTTTTTTTGGACCTCGTGGTCACAAGATTGACTACACGATGGCTCCAGATTCTATATGCAAGTTCACAGAAGGAAGGAGGGAGAAAGAGGGGTAAAGGGAGGGGTCAAACCACCTGCATCATCATCCCCTTTGATCATGAAAACAGAGTATTTACCAACACCCCCTCCTGCTGTGCCACCCCTTTACTTCTACTTGTTCTTCATTTGCCAAAACTAGGTTGCATGGCCATCAAGTTGCAAGAATACAAGGATGGCTGGGAAAGATAAAACAGCCATCCATGATTTTCATTGCCATGACTGGTCTATGGCAATCCTGAACCACTTCCTGAGCCTGGTACATTACTACAATGTTAGGGTGAGCAAGAAGGAAGGAGGAGGACACTGGACAACAGAGCTAAATTCTGGGATCAGATGTGGTCACTGCAGAATTAGAAATTGGTCATATGAACATGGGGGACAAAGGCTTTCCAGGAGAGGAGACAAGAGTGGAAAAACACAGGACATGTGAGGAAAACAAAGAAATTTGATTTGGCTGATGGGTAACTCCACCTTAGGTAATCTGTCCGATAGAAATAAAATCACTGATTATAAGGACACAGACACAGAAATTTTATTAGTGGAAAAAAACTGGTAACAACCTATATGCCCCTGGCTCAGTGCCCATAGCACAGTGGTTACAGCGCCAACCACATACACCGAAGTTGGCGGGTTCAAACCTGGCCCGGGCCAGTGGGGTGTTGTGGCAGGTGCTTGTAGTCTCAGCTTCTTGGGAGGCTGAGGCAAGAGAATCGTTTAAGCCCAAGAGTTGGAGGTTGCTGTGAACTGTGATGCCACAGCACTCTACAGAGGGCGACACAGTGACACACTGTCTCAAAAAAATAAACAACCTAGATGCCCATTAATAAAGGAATAGTTAAGTTGGAGTATATGCATCCTATTAAATACTATATAGCTAAAAAAAAAAAAGAATTTAAAAATTAGCTCTGTATCTACAGATGCACCCTTTTTATCAAGAAAAAATGAGCAAGTTGCAGAGACCACAATATAATCTTTTTCTATAAATAAGCAATAACATAACAGCCCCACATACGTGAGTATTATTTATATAAGCCTGGAGCAAGGTGAAAGGGGTGGTTAACTACACCCCAGACAGTTAATGCCGAATAAGGAAACTTGGAGACTTGGTAAAAAATGGTGAGGAGGTATGGAAGATACTTAACATTTTTCTTTATGTATCTTCAAGCATTTTTCTGGGTGAGGTAAACATATGTTACTTTAATAATCTTGGAATCCAATTTACAGCTTTTAAAAGGTAGTTTGGATATAGATTATGAAGGGTCAAGTGTTACATGTGAACAGTGGAGAGCCACTGCAGATTTTTGAGCAAGGGCATGATGTGGTCAGGAAAACTAAGCCAGCAGGAGTACGTACAATGGGTTAGAGGCAGGAGACGCTGAGGATGGGCAGAACAGTTAGAAGGTTCTTAAAGCAGCAGCTCAGTCAGAAACTAACAAGAACTTAACTGTGGCAGCAATAAATGTGAAGAGAGGAATAAGAAATGGGGCCCAAGGTAAAGCCTTGAGACACACACACCTGAATATTAGGAGGGGTGGTCATGGAGCGGATATATTTTTTCCACTAAATTGTGTCAACCAGCACATCTGACACTTTGAAAGCCTCCTCCAGCATCCACTCATTTTACATTCACAATTAAGACATCCAAAATAACCCTCAGTTTTCATGGGATTTGTGTTATCTTCCTCATTAAAAGGAATACATCTTGGGATGTGAGGCTATAGAGAGAATATTTATTGGTAGCCCCCCAAAGTGCAGTGAACCTCATAAGTAATCATTCATTCATTCGGCATAGTTGATGGTACATACAAATGCTCTTTCCTCATTCATTCCTTGAAGGAACAGCTCCAGTCTCTACCGCCCCCAGCCCCCACCCCTGCAGGGATTTTATCATCCATCCAGGGAAGGAGACAGACTCTCAACAGGAAATCCTGTTATGGGAGAGGGTTACAGGAGGTGGGAGTATGCAGAGAAGTAAACCATAAGCCAAGACCTGGAGGAAGAGGAGTGAACCAGGTGAAGAGAAGGACAGAAAATCATTCCAGATAGAAGGAAAAACATGAGCAAAGCCCTTGAGGTGAGAAGTGGCATTGGCACATTTGGGGAACTGCAGGGGTGGGGGCAGAGGAGGCGGCAGACAAAGGCAGAAAGGCAAGCTGGGGCAGACTAAGCCAAGACCTACAGCCCCAGGAGGCAGGCTCAACTAGATCCTGAGAACACTGGAAACCCAGTTGCTTGCAAGCAGAAGAGAAAGATGGTCAGGTTTGCTTTTTAAGAAAGAGCATTCTGTCTACAGAGGAACAACAGGGGAAACTCAATGCGCTGTGTGCTACCTAGGCTGAGCAGGCCAGAGGCTGACTCGAACCCCTCCCGCTGCAAGTGGCCATGGCCAGCAAGCCCATAATCCCTGAGTCCAGAAAGGAAAAGCCCTACACCCCCACCCAGAGTGATGGCCTGGGGAACCCGTAAACAGAAGGAAAAAGAGGGATGAGAATGCAGACGGGATGTGCCTAAGGCAAGGCCAACTTCTCCCCGTGCCTCAATTATTTCATCTGTAAAACTGGGCGTTCATTGAACCTACCTTAGAGAGTTGCTGTGAGGACATAATTCTTACAGAAAGCTCTTAGGCAGCACCTGGCACAAAATGAACAACCAAAAAGTATTAGTTTCTGTTTTGTTCCTCCTAAAAAATGAGGGAGACCAGTGACCATGGACTGTGTTCCTGACATCTAGTTGGCCCAGGCAAGTCTCAGGACCAATGACCAAAATATGAGCAAATTTATACGCCAAGTTTGGGCCTGGCTGTTAGAGTGTAGGTGCTTCTGTTCCTACGACTTAAAAAGAAAGAAGCTCCAAGAAGGGCAGCCCCAAAGGCAGCTGCCCACCACCCTCCCGCGAAACCCGGGTTCAGCACCAGGCCCGGGGCGGGGGTGTAGGATCCCGCAGCCTGAGATGCAAGGCGCCGAGGCGGACCGCAGGGGAGCCTGCGCGTCACGGCAGCCACTCCCCCAGCGGAAGTGCCGCCGGGCCCGCCCCGCCCCCCGAGCCCGGCTCCGCTCGCCCCACCCCGGCCGCTCTCCCGGCCGCGATTCGGCCACCGGAGCTGGCTGGGCCCGGCCCAACAACCGCACGGGGAGGAGGCCCCGGGTCCACACCTCTGGCTGTCTTGGCCGCTGCTCTCTGTCCCTTCCACTCCCAGACCCTCCCTCCCATTTCTCTGTCACCGGCCGGGCCGCGGGCGCACAGGTAAAGTCTCGGCAAATGAGGGTGCAGGTGCGGGCGCCTCCGGACCCGCAGGGGAGAGGCCTACCGCACATGCCTGGCGTTTTTTCTTTTTTTGCAGCATTTATACTGACAGTGGGTGATCCGGGAGGGCGGACGCGTACCCAGACCCGGGAAGCGTTGCAGTGCACTGGGGAGGCGGGGCGGGACTGAAGCCTCCGGAGCTTGGGAGCCGAGTCATTTGTGGCCTCGCGTCCTGCGCAGGCTCTGTCTTCCCCTGGAAGCGGTGAGATGGGGGCGGGGGAGGGGGGCAGGTAGGGCGGCGGCTTTGGAAGACTGTCCCCCGCCTACTCTCTGTGGTGACTGGGTTTTGACAGCCGCCCCGCCCGGGCGCGCACAGTCCTAGGTTTCCAGAATGAAAATCAATAAAATCGATGCAATGGCAAAGAACACGAAACATGTTGGGTTATTATTATTTGAGTTTGTTAAATTTTTTTTTTTAACTTTCTTCTTGGAAAAGGTGGCTTCAGCTTGGATCAGGGCCTGGGAGAGGGACGCAAAATATTCCCTGGTCTCCTAAAAGGGGACGGGAACCTGTCTTCGGTATCAAGCCGCCAACACTTCCCCCAGGCCGGCGTGCTGGGTCCACTGGCGGGAGGGAAGCCCCAGGGTGCGCTCGGTTTCCGGACCTCTGTTCCCCGCGCCTAGTCATCTGCCCTTTAGGGAAACAGGCCCCCTCCACTATTTCCCCGGCTCACCACCCACACGCCTGGGGGGTTGTGCCTCCTCCCCTCCCCGTGCTCTCCCTGGCGCTTTAAATAATGATATTTGCATGCAGAGAGCGATTCATAAATATGTCAGAGCCGGTGAAATATAGGCAACATTTCAAACTTTCTATTTAAAAAACATGAATTATGGCCGCGGAAAATGTGTTCCCATTTAAAGGCGATACGAAGTATTTGGTGTCTCGTCCCCGGGCCCATCCATCACCCAGACAATAAAGAGAGTTTTTCGCCCTGACACCCGCGATTTATGGGCGCCCTTCTCTGCCCTCATCACTCACCCGCCGCGGCCGGCCCGGCGACAGGCCCCGCGGAGAGAGACTGGCGGCCGCCCCCGCGCCGGCCCGCGCGCGCACTTTGCGCCCTAGCGGGCCCCCCAAGATTGTGCCTCTTAGGGGAAGCGCTAGCTCCCGGGTCTTGGGGGAACTGCCACGAGGGTCTGGGCAGCCAAGCGTAAGCGGAAACCACACTAGTCCTCCCACCTCGGCTCAAGCCTCTCTCGGGGCTGGGGCCCCCGAGAAGAGAAGTCTTGTGGGCCCTCTCTGCGTTCGGACCTCGCCCACCGACCGTAGCACAGCGCTGGGATGTTGGCAGCGCAAGTGGTAGTAGGTTATTTAAGCCCTGGTGCGAGGTGAGGACAGGGAGTTGGTTACCCAGGCTGATTCCTGACTATTTCGCCCTGAAAAAAGCCAGCTGGTCGCAAGCTTTCTGGAGCCCCGCCGGGCGCTCGATTCTGTGTAAAAGTCTGCAACTTTTCCAAAGCTTCCTCTTCCCTCACGGTGATCACTCACTACAAACACGTCCTGGGCGTCCGCCGCAGCTTGGAAACTATTTTTACCATTAGGGGCCGAGGAGTTGCCCCGAAATAAGGAAAATGAGGCGCCTTTCCTACCATTTCGCCTCGAGCCAGGCTCAGCACCCGGGTGTCCTCTTCATTTCTCCCTCCCCAGTCCACCCCGCACACGCTCTCACTAGCGCGCTGTCCTTCCCAAGCCTCCACTCAATCTCGGCTGCTAACTTGCGTCTAAGAAAGTTCGGGCTACCTCTGCAGGCGAATTTGCTTTCAGTTTTCGCCGAGGACAGACTTGGTCAGGCAGGTTTCCGAAGTACCGGCAGAGGGGCGGGGGGGGGGTGCAGGCACTGCTGGGCAGCGAGAGACCGCTGGACTTGGGGGCGTCGGTCGTCCAGACTCCTTCAGAGGCCGGACTCTCAGCCTCCTGGCCATAAGAGCCCCCTCTGGTCCTGCGCTGGGCCCACATGAGCCCAAGCGTCTACTTATATGCAAGCCAGGAACCTTTTCCTGCCTTATGTTTGAGAGTTGGATTTATTCGGGTAAATGCAGGGCAAACGACAGCCGGAGAAATCCTGTCGATTCTAAAAATGACAAGGTTGAATTTATTAGATCGAGATTCCTATGTAAGTGCAGAGATAGAAATGATATAAATGGCTCCACGTCCAGTATGAACACCACTGATCACGTCCAGCTTCAAGGACATGTAACACATCAGAATATTTAGACCTAGAGGGGACTGTACCATATGCTTAAATTCTCCTGGTGTGTACATACAGTTAAATTGGAAAAAATCTAGAGCAAGTGCCTTTTTACAGCCCCTGCTTGGGTGTCATCTAGGCTCAAGATAGAGCTTAGCTTCAAATAACCACTCAGCAAATACTTCCTATACCCAGAGTGAGTTCCGCATAGTTGAGGGGTGCGGGAACCACAGCTATTTAAATACCTGCAGCTGGCACAGGTGAAGTAAATACATTTAAGAGAAGCAGGCGGGAAGGTAATTGAGCCGCTGCATCAATACAATATTTCTGGACATAGAAATAAATACTCCTACAAGCTCAACTGTGGAAAGTGCTGGCAAAGTGAGGGGTTTTCGGGATCCCTTTGTGGGGGCCCTGGGTCCTGCAGCCCCATGTGCCGAGCATGCTGAGGTGGGCTCTCCTGGATACCTGCAGCCTTGGACCCGCTGCCTGCTGACAGGCTCCACTGCACGCCCGATACTGCAGCGCCTTGGGGTTCTCCAGTGTGCTGACATGAAAAGAAAGCCTTCCCAGCGCTGAACCCCGCATGGTATGTAAAGTAACAGGGCCTGGGGGGCCGCGGGCAGCCCTACCCCCTTACACTTCAACCACCCTTCAATCCTGGCTCCACCCAGCTCCAGCAGTGGCCACTTGAGTCTAAGGAGTTGGAGGAAGACCTCAGAACAGGGCGGGTGGAGCTGAATGCAGAGGCGTCCCAAAGCGAAGCGGAGGCCGCAGGGAAGAAGGCCACAATTTCTGCAGCCCTCCAGAAACCAGGCCCTACTGGACCTTTGGGGCTCCAATTTGGGAACAGAAGCTTGTCTGAGTGCATTTATGAAATACTAGGCACCCTCTCACATACTCAGAACCGAGGCCCGGGTGCCCCGTAAGTATTCTCCACAGACGTATTTGCAAAGCCCAGGCAACTCCAACAGCGAGGTCAGCAGGTTGTAGCTATAAAATTCCAACTCCAAATACTAATTCCAGAATAGGGCGCTTGCAACTGCCCACTCATCTCAATAGCTATCTATCTATCATATCTCTCTCTCTTCCCTTCACCCCTCCATACGCACCCAACCCCTAAACAGGAGCACAGCTTCTCCTGCTTGGAGAGAAATCAGTAAGAAATTTGTCATGAGTTTCTGGGAATTGCACACACTTCCTGAGGCAACCCTGCCACAGGAGAAATAACCCGGCCCCTGAGAATGCTCCACTCCAGAGAGTGTGGCTGCGCACGAAGTGGTTTAGACAGTATACAGAGAGGAGGGAGCGAGAATAAGAAACATTCTCTGGCAAGTAAGAAAGGGGAAAAGGAAGAGGAAATGAAGAAAAGGGGTAGGAAGCCAAGAAGCAGAAGAGGAAATAAAAAGGAGAAGGGAGAAAGAGAAAAGAAATGGAGAGCCAGGGAAGGCCAGCCGAGAACAGCGCAGGCCGCGGGGTAGCCCCGGTGCCCGGCCAGACCGCGGCTCCGGCAATGCCACGTTCCTCCCTCGTCCCGAGAAGCGGAGAGGGCCGCTCAGGACCGTCCCCCTCTGGCCCGACGAATCTGGGCCTCGCTCCAACTCGGGTGGGGCGGGCCTGGGTCCAGCGGCCTCGGCGCGCTCTTTCTCTTCCCCTTCCTGGGGGGCCGCAAACAGAGGGCAGGACCAGAGTTGGGGAGGTCCCCGGGGGCGCACGCCAGTCCGGGACTGTTTCGGCGCTCTGGGCCAGGCTTTCCAGCTCGCCGGGCCTGACCTGTCAGGCGGATTATCTTCGAAGGAGATTAATAGGGGAGGCGGGCTGCAATAATAATCGTTTTGTTTGATGTGACAACTCTGATAGGCGTTGATTTACTTACAAACTGATAGGCTTTTAATTGAGCGCCTCCGCCGAGCCCGAGATGAAAGGGAAGCGGCGGTGAAAGGCGGCCCGCCTGCCCTCCGGCCTCAATACTGATTAGCCATCTCGACAGTGAATAGTTCAAGGCATTTTCAAACTTTTTTCCTCAGCTCTCTGCTCTTCCTTCTCCTCCTCCCACCCCCTGCTCAAATATCTGCCATGCCCATTCCTTTTTTTAGAGAAAACAAATCATTTCCATTGTGTGCAAATAAAATCCGCAGGACACCCGCGCCAACCGCTGCTGGGGGTTGGAGGCTTTAGGCCCAGCGCAGGGTAATTAATAACCCCCACCCAGACCCTCTGGCCCCAGGGCCTTCGGGGGTTTGGTCCCGGGCGTGAGGTGCGCAGACTCGGACGCTGGCGCCTCCCCAAAGCCCAGGGCGCGGAGGCCCCCCGGCGCCCCCATGCGCTCGGACATTTGGAGTTGAGATCGGAGAC